TCCTCTTCTAACTCTTTCTCCACTTCTTCTTCATCAAGTTCAGATTCACTAGTGATTTGCCCATCCTCCTTCATGATCATAATCCTCCTGGTTGGGCATTCAGAAGCAATATGTCCTCTTCCCAAGCATTTGATGTTTCTAGTTCCAGTGGGAAAAACAGATGCATTTGGCTTTGTTGGTGATTTCCCTTGTGGAGGAGTCACTACTGAACTAGATAAATTTCCTCCTTCCTTCTTAGATCTATCCCTCCGGTTTGGATTATAAGAACTGGAAGAATTCTTCCTTGCTATACCTTTCCTCTTGAGCTGTTGTTCAACCTGTACAGCCTTGTGCAACAAATCTTTCATCTCCACATATTCCTGCAATTCCATAACATCCCTAATATCAGTGTTTAGGCCATTCAGAAAATGAACCATTGTTGCTTCATTTTCTTCCTCTATACAGGCTCTCATCAATGCTATCTCCATCTCCTTATAGTATTCTTCAACAGTCATACTACCTTGAGTTAATTTTTGAAGTTTTAAATGCAAAGTTCTGCTATAACTGGTTGGCACGTATCTCTTCCTCATGACTCTCCTCATTTCAGCCCATGTATCTATTTCCCGTTCCTCATCTCTTTGCATTTCCTTTTGATATTTGTTCCACCAAATGAGGGCATAGTCTGAGAATTCAGCTGCAGCCAACTTGACCTTTTGTGCTTCAGTATAGTCATTGCATGAAAACACATGTTCAATCTTCATCTCCCACTCTAGATAGGCATCTAGATCACTCCTACCTTTGAATGGGGGAACATTCAACTTCACTCCTTCAAGTCTGTTTTGTCTAGGACCTCTATTACCGCCTCTACCTCCCCTATTTCTGTTAGGACCTCCAACATCTTGATTTAGTTGATTTTCAATTCCTTCAATCTTTTCGTAGAGTTCTTGATTATTTTGTGTCATCAATCTTTGCATTTGTGCAGTCATAGCTTTAAGTAACAATCTTTGAGCTCCTTCTAAATGAGGACCACCACCAGCTGCTCCTGCCATAGTTCAACTAAAAAAAAATGAAAATAAAAGAATGTGAAGTAATAGGACCTTACCACTCTTCTCACGTGTTTGCACTCAAAGATGTACCACTTGTGTTTATTCTCAACTTGGCTTTTGTGTAAATATTCACTCTTGCCTTTTTCCACTCATTCTCTGACTTAAGGTTCTTACAAGAATCAAATAATCTATAATCAAGAATCATCTTCAAGGATAACAATCATAAGGAATAAAACAGAATTGTAGTACTCACAAAGGACAACTAGCAAAGAACAAGGAAGACACTTGATACTTAGGAATTTTATCAAACAAGTAATGTGCACGGAATTTAAGGAAGAACAACTACCATATATTTGTGTATATATATATATATATATTTTTTTTTTTCTTTTGCTGTAGATTTTTTTTTTTAACTTCTTTTGCTATAAATTTTTTTTTGGCAGAATTTATGTTCCAAAATGAAAGATAATCACTGAAAGAAATATGTGGATACACAATAACAAGAAGGAATGAAACAGGAAAAAAATTAAAATAGAAATTTGAACAATACCGTGAACAGTACCGATGAACAGTGTGCGTGAACAGTACCCCCCAGAACCTGGCTCTGAATACCAAATGATGTGAAAACAATCGATTATAAGGAAGGTGCCACAAATACGATTATTTGATAAGCCAAGAAAGATCACCATAAGAATTGGAGAATTCTTGATAAGATCAGTTTTTTTTTTTTGGGTACATGAACGGGGTTAAAAACCAAAACTAAAAACCTCTAAAAAATGCAACAGCCAACAAATCAACAAGCAAAGCAAAATGGATCCAAGAAGGAGGATCGGAGAATATAACAATTCTATTCTGCAAACTACGTCCATGTTTGGCTAAGAGATCCGCAACTTGATTTGCTTCTCGAAATATATGGGAACAAGACACCTCGTGGTCATCACCCACAATGTGGACTATTTTGTTTACCAAAGAGTAACTATCGTGAGTACGAATACATCCTTCCTTTAACAACTTTACTGCCACGGCAGAATTGGTCTCAACGCAGATGGCTCCACTCCAACTTCTTTCTCGCAGCAGTTTGATCCCATAAAATATAGCCCAAAGTTCTGCTTGAACCACTGAACAGTTGATGCAAGAAAGAACCTGGTATAATGATGTGGACATAAAAGCCCAAACTCAAGAGGCCCATGATCAAAAGGCTCAAGTCCACGACGAAGAGGATAAAGATCAAGATCCAATTCAAATCTTAGGTGGGCTTATGACTAGATGGATGCTTAAAAAAACCCAAGAGGCATTGCAACACAAAGTGGCCCATTTGCTAGCGACCCAACAATCGACTCAACACATGGAGGAGGCTAGACTTATTACATGCATAGCTTGCTTGGAGAGCTAGGAGGCCAACTGGAAGATATAATTTTTATTTTATTATTATTATCTTTTTATGTCTTGTTTTGTAAAAGGCAATATTAAAAATAAAAATGATAAACCGTTACATTTCAGGATTTGAACCCAAGACCTTAAGCTTATAATGTCTTTATCAAACCACTTGGACATATTAGCTTTTATTGGAATATTAGTATTTTAATTTTCTTTATTTACTCCCAAATAAGACAAACTCAAACTAAAGTTGTATTAAACATTTTGGGAATGGAAAAAAGGGACAGATTATTCAGATTACATTTTTTTATGAGTTTTAGCTCTGCTAGGGTTCTTTCTTGCATCAACTAATCTTATCAAGAATTTTCTAATTCTTGTGGCGATCTTTCTTAACTTATCAAATAATCGTATTTGTGGTGCTTCCTTTTAATCGATTGTTTTCACATCAGTTAACGTCGTGGGAAACTTCACTTTAGTTATTGGCAAGGAGTAATTATCGAGAATGTATTATTGTTTGGTTCACTTGTATGGTTGTTCAGGCTTCTCTGACTTGGTATTTATTTCTGTTTATGCACTTAATGTGACCACTGACCAATTTAATCGACAAAATTTGGTTGTGTTGAAAAGAAAAAGTATGACCAATTTTAATTCTTGATCAGAAATTAATATTTCTCCTTGACAACTAAATTTATCTGCGATTGCGAGATGTTAAAAAAGTAATGAATTAGATTTTGTTTTAATTAGACAAATGGTGTTAGTGTATGGGCTATATAGAATCAACTCCAGACATACAAACTAGGGCCACAAGCTTCATATCAAAACCAGAGCTCACTTGTTTAAGTTTCACCCTCTAGCTTTGGACTTTAGCGTGGTTTACCTCTGTTTTGTTTTTTAGTCATGTTTGTCCATTTCACGTTTTGCATATATAAGAAGAAAATAAATATGAAAAAAGACATAAAGTTAATAATCTTCCATCATTTACCTTTTAGTTTACATGCTAAATGAATCAAATAGGAAGTTTATCACAAACTCAATGCCTTTCTTTAATAATAATGCACATTATCATACATGATATGCAAATGCATGATTCAATCTTTCTTTTATATTAATAAATGTCTTTCTTTTATATTAATATATATAGATAATATAAGCAAATGCATGATCCAAGAATAACGTAAACTCTTCCTCCATTAATTGATTAAAGGCTTAATACATAAATGTCATTATGACTTCAACATTAACCAAATACATTTATACTCTATGAATACACTTCCAAACTACCAAATAAACCACAACCAGCAAAAAAAAGCAGAAAAGAAATATTGAAGCATCCTTAATTCCAAGCACAATCTGTCAAGCTTAGAACCAATTGTAGTCACCCAACCATCATCCATTCCAATAGATCTATTTTCATTATCATCTTCGGACCTTGCATGGACCCAATGGACACAAAAGCCAAACCCAAATACCAAAAGACAAAATATTAACAAAGGATTGCAGTAAACCTTAGGCATTGAACATGTGTAGAATAATCGACCATGTGCGAATGACAGCCCTTCTTCCACAATAACAAAAGCCAACATTTAATTCATGGTTCCATTCACTACCAGCATGCCTCGAAGAAGAAGAATCACCCTCAGAATAAACTGTGCTTCTCTCCTTTGGTTGCATTTGACACGAGCCATCATCCTCCCCACCATCCATCTCCATATTCACCTAAACAAGCTTCCACAAGAAAGATTAAACCGTATCAGCAAAATGACACCCTTAAAATAGGGGCACGTACCGTTAGAAATTATTACTATCACATTAGTCCCTCTTAAATATCAATACAGCTAACATGGCAACTTTTACTTTTTTTAATTATCACATCATCGTATAACTTATCACCTATGCAATTCTGATATAATTAATGGAGTATATATGATGGAGGGACGAATGTGAGTAACTATCGTAAATTTGGGGACGATTTTTTATTTTTAATAAAGTGAGAAACTAAATTGAGAGTAAGTGACAGTTTCAGAGATTAATTTGACCATTTACTTCTAATTTTTGGATAAGTACTGAGCAAAATGGATACAAATATATACAATACAAAAACCCTTGTTCATCACCTTTGACAACTAACTGATAACAACTATACTTCTATGTTGACTAACACTATTTTTGTTAACATAAATGTTTTATTTTGCATCATTCAAGATTCCAACAATTACTTCATTAATTGCTTTTTCTTTTCAAAATACTTTGTGCGTCAGAAACGTTTATAGAGGAACTTGAACACCAAGTTTTAGAGGACAAAAAATAAAAACAAGTCAAAATCAAATCTTATTCATTTTGTAAGGATTAAAAGCATATTTAAATTATTAAGAATTTACAAATATTATAATCAATTTTACCATTTCCCATGATTGATTGTAAAATACTGGAAATTAATAGTTATAAGCAAATTTGTGCTAGTGACAGCTTCTTTTCCTTTCAAGAACTCGTTAAACATGCACATGTCCACTCTAAGGTTTAACTTTGTTGCGACTTCTTCGTCTGGATTTTAGATGAAGAAAAATTATGCGATTATAGACATCACATTAGTCACGAACCGAATCAGAACTAAGTTGGATTTCAAGGAAAAAAGAATAATTTCGGAGATTAAAAAAAGAGTTTACTTCAAAACTAAGAAAAAAAAGACCTTCAATTATTTATAAGAATCATTATAATTCTTCATAAAGTCTCCTACTTCTTTCAAGTAACATAGTACTGTTCACAAACATGCATACATTGCTAGAGAAACCTGAGTAAACATGTCTTGGGAACAAGAGGAGCGTTTCCACACTTTAAGTAATATATTTCACATAACATACCCACTTTGTCTAACATTTATTTTTAAGAGGTCTTAATTAGGAGCTAATTGAATGAAGCCAGTTTAAGTTAACATCAACTCGAGGAACCTCTATCTTTAGATTCGGAAGCATAGCTTCGAATGCTTCCCATGAAGCAGACGTCTCTTCATCGCATACCACTACCTTCAAATTCTCAAGATTGACGACCGAGTATGGCAATTCACACCTTGCACAACTTGTCATGTAGAGATTTCTTAGATTACATAGGTTACCAATGTTCTCTGGTAAACTTGAAAGGTTTATGCAGTTTGAGATGTCAAGATGTCTTAGCTTTGATAGGTTTCCAATAGAATCAGGTATCCCTTCCAAATCAGTACAGGAACTTAGGTTCAGGAGTTCCAAATTCACCAACTTTTCAATTTCTTGGGGCAGAGAAGTAAGCTTGTGGCAATTAGTAATACTGAGCTTCTTTAGTGGGGTAATATCACATATCCCAGTAGGCAATTCCACCATATCCTTGCAATAGTCAATGTTCAAATCTTCTAGACATGGAAATGAATCTGAAACTAGGATGGTACCATTTTCAAAAGCCTGACTTATATTACTACACATGTAGAGGGATAGTTTTTTAAGAATTTTCAATGAACCCAATTGAGGAACAGAAATCCTCTCTAGTCTGATTCTTTTCAGGTTTGACTCAGAGCCTAGTAGTTTGAAATTGTCCAGTTCAGAAGGATGAAAACCATAATTTGTCACGATAAGAACTTTTAGTTTACTCATTTTCTCCAAAAGCTCTTGAAAGTAAAACTTCTTAGTTCGAATATTTAAAATCAGAACTTCAGTTTGGGATGCTTGTATGTGGGACCAATACGAAGCACAAGTTTCATCTGCAAAAACAACCCGCATGAAGTCAGTTAGAAAAGTGTAATCAATGGAAGACCGCTGCTACTTCCTTATTAGCATTTTTACCATGTAAGACAGTAAGAGCATATAGTTCAGAAACGGTTTAACTAACCAGTTGATATAGACAATGTGCGAGCTGGGACCTGTTGGAGGTTCTGTTTAACATACCATCCGCAATATTTTGACCATAAGTTGGCCACCATGCTTAGTTGCTTCTCCCCAAGCCACCATTGAGTTTTTTTTTCATTTATGTCAGTTATCAGTCTTTTTCTCCGTTCAATTGGTTCCCGATTGTTCTGATAAATTGCGAGATCTCTTAGAAGATCATGGAGGATGACAAAGTGATTATTGTAGTAGTAATTGTCTGAATCACTTGCATTTTTCCTGGTAAATGAGCAGCAGAAAAAAGATAAATAAATCTTTAGGAAGAGAAATTATCCCACAAGATTAAAATACATTATCTCTACCAGATAGATAAATTATGAACTTCAGCTTCTGACCCTAGATTATGTTCATAAAAATAAATGTAGTGTTGCATGACGCGAGAAGTTTAAATTCACTACAAGTTAAACGGTTATTTTGGTTTATTTTACAAGTTACTAAATGATTCTTGCATGAGTTATACATGCTATTGAAGTATTTGTTCAAGAGTATAATTCACCTTTATATATATATATATATATATAAATTAAGTGGCTGAGAAGGAAAAATAACTAGTCATTGTACCTTACTACTAAAACATTAGCCAGATTCATGGAGTCTAATTTTTTTATGATTTCCATTGCTTCTATGCCGTTATCATCTAATCCATATAACTCTGCCCATATATCAATGAGAACAGGAAGAGGAATTCTTTGGTCTTCAGGAAATAACCCAAGGTCCATGAAGCACTCCTTGACGTTGGGATTGTCTTCCAAAACATCCAAGATCTTTTCGAGGCATGTAAGTAATTCAGTACTAGAATCAAGAATAGAATGACCATGGGACAATTCGTCCACCGTCTTTTGCCACAACTCAATCGATCGATGTCTGAGTGATCTACCAATCACTTTAATGGCAAGCGGCAAACCCCTGCAATATCTCACAACCTGCATTTCAGTGCAAGCAAATAGGGTTAGTAAACGAAAGGTCATACCTTAGGTGCCCAAGCAGCAAGTAATCTACATATTATTGCTTTGAGGGGTCAAAACACAGCTTTCTACTCTCTAACTCAACAATAAGTTATTTATTTTATAAAAAAAAAATGTTACAAGCGGTTATGTCCTTCCTATCTTGTGTTGTCTGCTTCAAGCTAATGACTGTCAAATAATTTGTGACGTGGTTCTGTTTGACCAAGTCCTGTGACTGTTTTTATTCCTAGTTTTAAGGAGTCGTTAGTTGTTCCTGTAGATTTGAGGAGTCCATGTCTTGAGTCCATTCCTATTTTTATGTACTCGGTTATTTTTATGGAGTAGTGCTTATCTATTGGACTGTTACTGGATTGCCTATAAATAGGCAACATATCAATAAAGTAAATGCACTTCCAATATATCTCTTTCTCTTAATTTTACTTTAACAATGAATTCAGACAAAAAGGGGAGGTACAGATCACTCCCATATCAGAAAGTAAGAATACGCACCTTTTGGATAAGTTCTTCGTCAGGAATACTTGAACTGCTTTTTTCCAAGGGAGCATAATGACGGAAAAGGGTTATTGCATCTTCATGAGCAAGTGGTTTTAAGATATATGGGGTGCCAAATTTAGGAAATGCAACCCTTGAAGTCACCAAAATTTTATAATCAGACATCTGGAATTTAAATTTTTCAACAAGGGATTCTGAGCCAGGCCAAACATCATCCAATACCAACAACAGTGGACTTCCCTCAATTTTCCGCAGCAAAATTCCCAACCGTTTAATAGCCTCTTCATCACTTAGAAACTCAGGCACGTGGTATCCACAATGTTCAAATAGTCTCTCTACAACATTCTTCAACTTAGGCGTTTGTGAGAAAGTGATAAATAAAATATTTTCCTTGAATTTACCTGGTGAAAGCAACGAGATCTGTCAGCATAGAGCATTTGATACGATGTCTAGTATAAAACACACAATATTTTGCTAATGCTTCTCTAATATGTTAAACAATATTTGCAAAGAACTTGAGATGCCTACAATATGTTCATATTGATGTAAAGACATATTAATTTCTCAAAGGACATCAATATACATCAAGCTTGACTCTGCTTTAAGCTGCTCTACACTTCAGAAATAGGGATTAAAAACACTTCGCAAGCCACTATTTACATCTATTACAGATAAAATTTCCATATATGTTTGCAAATTTCAATTAAACTTTTTCATATCCGTCTTTTACTATCTTTTAGTAATAGTTTATGGCAGAGAATTGTGTATGAGATAGAAGAGGACATATAAGTGAAATTATGAAAGCATTGATGAGGGGATGATTATCACTCTAAACAGATTTCCGATAAGAAAAATTCAGATCTGTCTTTTACTTATGAAAGCTTTAATAAGGGAATAATTATCAGTCTAAACAAATTTCATAATGGACATAGTCATAGTCTTCCTTATAAGAATTAGTCAGCCAATTTATCATGCATCAGAGAACCAAAGTGGAATTACCACTTACCCTTGACTTCTTCATCCCAACAGAGCTTTGTAGCCAAAGTAGTTTTACCAGATCCACCCATACCAGTCAACAAAAGGATGGACATACCGTCCCCGAGAATCTCCATCTTCAACTTGCTCAACGGTACACCCAACCCAAGAGTGAATTCTGGGTTTCTAGGGACACCATAAGGACACTTGATTGGTGTTCCAACACCTCTCAGTTTCTGCTCAAAATTCTCTATGTCAAGAAGCTCGAGAATCTCTCTCACCTTGTACAATGTGTGTTTGATAGAGTTAACTTGTTTGTCATCCTCAGCAAAGGAATCATTCTTATTATACCAAAGTCTGTTCCTAAAGAGTGGAAGCCAAGAGAGAAATTTCAACCACCTAACAGTCCTGGAGCAAGAAATGCACACAAGCTCTTCTCCAGCATCTTTTTCTTTGATAAGAGTGTTAATTTCTTCTCTGGGTGGGTCCAATTGTTCATTGTATTGCTTGATTTCCTGCACCACAGTAGTCATATCCTTGAGGATTGACCTAAGTATTCGCTTGTACCTTTTGTTCCTTCTTCCTTTTTCTTCTATGTCCATGACCATCCTCATTGCCTCTTGAAATCTTGTCCAAGGGGTAACAAGTTGTTTGGTCTCTCCCATGATAACCAACCGGTGGCATCCTCCCTCTATGCAATCAAACAAGGAACAAGTTATCAAAGGCATAGAAACTCAGCGTTGATGCATCAAATTCAAATTGAGAGTTTAGAAAACGAAAAGAGACAATTATATACTGTTAAAGCAATGGCAAGAATTGAAAAATAAAATAGATTCATAGAATTAACGTGCAGTCAGAGAGAGTATATTATTTCTTTCAGAGAATAGATACAAAGAGACTCGCAGAATCAATGATACAATAAACACCTTTCTCCTTCAAATTTTGGAGCTAAACATTAACAAAATTGAAGACATCTCAACATATACTGCTATTATACCTTCGTGGCAATCGCTCATGCCTCGTATGAATTTGTGATATTTTGCTGAGTCTGTCTTTCTTCTGGTTGATGAAAGTAGCACAACGGGTAATGAAACGATTTACAATCCAATTAAGCAAAGATGAAAGTATCAGCAATGGTAAAGTGAAACTCAAGTTTCAGGTTTGCTATTGAAAATATTAAAATTTTGGGAGCGCGAAACAATGCTATTTATCAGGGACAATTTTTGAAACTACCTTGCCTTCTTCCTCTGAGCTGAGCTTCCCGGAGACTTTCGTATTTTTAAACGCGTAAATAAAGTTATGAAGTTAACAACGAAAAAACCCTGATATTATTATATATTTTCTTTCATCTTATTTTATTTAACTTTTACATTTTTTTACGACATTATTTATGAAAACAAGGAAAATGTCCTAATATTATTTTTTATTTACTTTTTTCTTTTATATACTTTTATAAAAAAAAATTAACTTTTTAATATTAAAATATTTTTTTAATCCTTATAATTTTTTTTATTTTACCTTTTAATTTTTATAATTCGTTATACTTATCTTTATTAATATTTTTGGATTTTTATAATATATTTCTTAGTTCATATATATATATATATTAATTATTCTTAATCTCCATCATAATTTGTTTTTGTAACGATTTTTTTTATTGAGTTAATCTTATAAGGATTTTTAATTTTGTGAGATAAAATAAAAGGTATTTCAACAATAGATATTATAGATAATAGGAAGAGACACAAAACATCAAGGACCAATAAAATATATAAAGAGACAATATTAAAAATAAAATAAAATAATTAAAACAGAAAATAAAAATATTAAAAAAAAAACTTTCTTTTATTCGTTTAATGATAAAGAAAGACTCGTCTGATAGTGGATGTCCATGAGTTATTTTGCTTTAAAAAAGTAATCAATCAGTGTGCTTGGTCTGTCATTTTAATTTAACAAAACAGAGTACAAACTGGCATTTTTTGCTATATTTATTAGTCAAGTTGATAGAAATTACACAGACTTGACCTGGGAAGCTGTCTGAGTTTTTAACGTACTAAACGTCAAGTCGCTTGAATTGTGAGCGTTTTAAACTTCTAATTAAACGTTAAGTAATAAGTCGTATGAAGAGGGGCGCGTATAAGGTGGACAAACTACAAAGTATTTGAACCGGTAAAATTTTCGACAATCCAAGATTCGAAATCATTTCCTCATGATATATAATTATATTTTTTAATTTAAAATTTAATAATTTGTCCTATCGAAATTGTCAAAGCATGTGATTCTCAACTACTCAACAATTACAGTTCCACGGCCCCACACATTAATGACTGTCTTTGTCTTGAATTGATGTAGGAAATTGCTTAGCAATAACATTATTCAATGACTTTGAACGAAAAGTCATGGAAGCTGCAATCCACTCACACTTTTTTTTTTTTTTTTTTTTTTTTTTTTTTTTTTTTTTTTTTTTTTTTTTTTTTTTTTAAATTTTTTTTTTTTTTTTTTTGT